GTAAGACCTCGTTATTCTTCAGCTCGCCCAAGTACTTCTGGGGTTTATCGTTCGTAGGGGAGCGACAGCTGGTTGACTGAGAAACAGATTTTAAACTGAATCATTTTGTCATACCGCTTCTTGTTTTACCTTCACGCTCTCCACATCGTTCTTCGTGAGAAGCATCCTATTGCTTTCTTGCGATATCCCCAGCTTACAGAGATTGAATTCCAATAGGAAATTGACTTTGGAACCACTTTAACAGACTTCCATTGTCCAGAATGACTCTAATGTGATATGAAATCTATGATAAAACAAATATATGCAGCTTCTTTGAACTTCCTCTTAAACCAGTGCTCCTCCCTGTGGATGATCTCAGCTTGGGACCACTTGATGTTATGTTGATGGGTCCAAACATGCTCTCTTATTTTCGATTCGCTGTGCGTTTCTGTTGTGATCGGCAATGCGGACTTTCAATGGCCTCACCGATATAGGATTTGGAGATTGTAACCAAAACAATATTAAAAAAATCTAAAACGAATCATCAAAACCAAAGCAGTTTCTTAGAACTTCCGATTGAAAGCTTTTGTAGATTCGAATTTTGTTTTCATGTACAACAAAGTGGCAAATCTATTCACTTCAGCGATTATATTTCTACGATCGCAAACCGATAGTGGAGCCTTAAGAAAATGTAACAAAATAGTTAGTGGTTTTGTTGTCGCCTTCTGTCTAGGTAATTTTACAGTCTACTGAGTAACAGAATCGTTTCCTTTTGTTTGCGATCTGTTAGTGGGAGAACCGTTGCGAAACAACTTTTTTGACGTCTGAGTGGTTGAAATTCGTGACAAATATTCATGAAACTCCTGAAAATATGACCGATTATTCATTGAATTCAGAAGGACGCGTAGAAAAATTGGTTTTGATGACTTTTTAATGCACAAAAAATTGTAGTTGTTATTGAATGAAGATTTAGCTTTTTCCGGAACTTCTGGGACATTTTATGTTTCTATTCAAAAGTGTTATTAATACTACGTAGTTTGTAAATTTCATATCTTACAAATATATTATATATAACTCGTCGAACTTTGTGCATAATTGCAATATTTGATGCCTTATGAAGTTATGTACTTTATTGTTTACTTTTTGTAGGTCAATTATGGCTAAGAAAAGGTGCTTTGTTGTCGTTAGCCTCGAAAATAAATTAGTCAACACTTTTCACGACTAGTATTCTATTGTTTCTTTAAACGATATAAATTTACTAGCCCAGACTTAATATGCACAGAAGAATAGATTTGAAAAATAACTATCACGGAGAATCATTGATTAAACATATAAAGTGATGTATTACGCAAATTTTGATCAATTTATTTCAGTCTTTCACCTATCTCAAATTAAAAAAAAAATCTACGCTTGAGAATGTCGAAAATGACGTTATTTCTTTACAACTTTGCTGCCCTCCCCTTTCTTTACATCACTCTCAAATTGTCAGATTACTGGAATATACACTTTTCAGCAGGTAATTAACTCACCCTACCTCAATCTGACGCGCTCGAGAATTTCTAATCTGATCCTTTATTACTCACAGGCGGCCTTATATATGGGGCTCATATTTGGTGGAGGTTCTTAACCGGGTACAAGGCATCCCCCTGTATATTAATCTGCCGCGCCTTAGTAAATCTCTAAATCCCCGCTTGGACTCCCCTATAGGGCTCACCTCGTACAGTGTCGAAAACCATACCGATTCATTAGCCGCTTGGGCAGCAAAAATGCTCTAAGTACTGATTTTTGATGGTGGTGATTCATGCAAAGAAGAGGAAGAACTCCTGATGACTCTACTGATACCATTCTGTCAAGTAGACCCTCCAAACTAAACGTCTACGGCCTCCCTGTTGTTGGGGAAAGTACTACCGTAGAACGGACGATTTTGGATGCAGACTTCTATGGAGGTGCATCAATTTCGGGTCTTCTCTTTCGTGTCCACTTCTCTACTCCAAACGAGTAGAGTGAGGTCGGAAAGGCAAGTATATTCGTTGCAGTACCTTTGTTTTTCCTCGACAGTTCCGTTAACCAGATCTGCTACTATCGCCTGTTAGTAGAGTTGTTCCACTCTGAGGTATGTACGTCTTTCATTCAACGTTAAGCTAGCAGAACTTGTAGTATCTACGTAAGATAGAAAGCAAAAAATTCAGGAAAAGAGTACAAAATTAACCTTAAATTAGCCTAAAACGATTGAACATAAACATAAAAATTCTAGCTTCAATATATTTATTAGAAGATATGCCCGTTTCTCAGAAATGTTTTCCATCCAAAGATTGGTGATTATCATAGAATCCTCCAACAGGGTCAGGTTAGGTCCAAAGTGAAGAAGGCCTGTTAGACATCGTAGTTCATCCCCACGGTAGTCCAACAACTGTTTGGTATCAAGCTCGAAGGTTGAATAAACGCCTCCCAACTAGCAATTTCGTATTTTATAATAGTTGCAGAAACGTTTTGGAGAAACAAATTATAAAGCTAAATTTCTCCCAGAAATGTTTTCAATGTGTTTATAAAACTGCTATAAATAGGAAATTGGTACCGTTTTATAAAACATTATAGTTATTATCAATATTTT